ACAAATTCAGTTTTTGTTTGGGATTTGTGTGGATTAATCAACAGATTTGTTAAAGAGGAACCAAGGAAAACACTAGTCTGCAGGGTTGTTTGGTTTGGTTTGGCTTGGTTTTGGGGTTTTTTAATACAGGACCTAGCTTCTTTTCATTAAATTTATTCAGGTAATTTTCTAATCTCTCACAGTCCCAATAGGCTATGGCTAACAGTGTTCATATCCAACAGTGTACAAACCCTTATCTCCTTCTCTCTCTCCTTCCCTCCTTCCTTTTTTGGGCCTGAAATTATGTAAAGCAATGTCTCTCAGGATACTTGATATGGCAATCCACACACACTCCCAGGACCTGTACCATTTAAACACACCATGGACCAGCAGCTGCATGGAATGACATCAGTCTGGGGACCACCATTCTGAGTACAACCATTTAGAGTACTGGAGTCTGTACTCTTTTTCGTACTAAAGAAAAGCAGCCTTGTTAGAATAAATCTGATCAAATCATCCATTAATATTGTTGCACCTCAACTCTCATCAACCAGCACAGCCAATGGTGAAGGATTATGTGATATGCTCTCCAGCAACAACTAGATGGCCATAGGTTTCTCAACCCAGAATAAAAACCTTGTATACCCACAGCTCATCAGTTTCTATTGGTAATACCAAAATCCATGGCAAAACAGAGCGATTGGTTGCTCCTGACATAAAACCACCCAATGTCTTTGAAGAAAATCTACACTGCAAAGTCTTTTTATATAGACCAGTCTCAGGAACAAAGTTTTGTTACATTATGGAGTAACCGGAAAAGGAAGGGAGCATATTATTGGAAAATGGAACAATAACTGGGAGGAAAAATAACTATGGGACTGAACAACCTGTGCTATTGAATGCACAGCTTAACACGACTCATTGGTGTAAGTATTTTGACACTGTGTGGTCTCCATTATCTTGTCAGCAGAAAGAACTGAGCAGGCAAGATAGCTGAGAACAAAGAACACATAGATCCAATAAATACAGGGGTTTAAAACCTCCACCCACTGTTGCTAAGGTAACTTATAATTTCATAGGATGATGTCAGAGCAAAAGGTTATGACAAAACCACTTGCTGATGTTTGCAGCAAAACTAGTAGGTTGCTATGGCCTTTTTCGTTCCTTTTATGTAATGTTTCCAACTAGAACTTTCAGAAGCATGGAAAGGACTCAGATTGTGCTATCAAGCAACTTCTTGTGTTTTCAAAGGAGGAAATTCTCAGAAAGATGGGCAGGGGCAGAATGTCTGTCTGGTCCTCTTTAGTGTCAGCTGCCATCACATTTTCTTCATAATAACAGAAATGTGGAAAGGCACTGTTGTAGAGTGGTTAGAATAAGGGAAGGCAAAATACAGCTTGCAGGTCCCAACCTTTTTCCAAAAGCCTGCAATTGCCTTGCACATTTTAAAGCCCATGTACCCTCCTGAATTTATTTATATTTCTCTATAAGGAAAATATTACTTGAAAAATCACTGAAACTGCCATAAAACTGCACCAAAACATAATTGGTTATATTTGACCTTCAACACCCAGATTGTGTCTTTATGGCTTCAAGCTACCAGTTTGCATTGAGATCCCCTCAGTAGCTAGCCATAAAGACCCCACGTTTCCAAGTGTCTACAGAGTCCATTCCTGTTCCTTCAGTTGGAAGCAAGCCTCATTGTTGGTAAATATTGCCAATAGAAAGGCTTTCACTATTCCACCTCTCCCACCCCTGCTTCTTAGTTCTTGTGTGTTTGTGTGCATGAGTGTATATGTTGTGTGTGTTGATTATTTCCTTAATAAAAATACAAAAACATACAGAAATCATAGAGCTGCCCATTTTCCTTAATAAAAAATAAAATAAAATACAGAGGATTTACCTCTGGAGTTGATTTGGACCTGGTATAGTTGGGTTGGTCCCTAAGGCTGCTGCTGCTGCTCTGGTCAGAATATTATTTCATTTGGACTATTATTAAAGTTTCCCTATAAACATATTAATTTGTGGGTGCTCTCTCAGGCCCCCAGCATTTTGGGTAATAAACATCAGGAATTGTATTCTCTCCCTCCTTTCCCTCCTGATTTGTTTTCCCCACCTGGGAAGTCTGCTGGAGAAGACAGAGCAGAAGAACACAGTTCTTACGTCGGTGTGCTTTAATAAAGAGGAACTGTCATCTAAAGGTAAGCTAGCTTATCTGAGCGAAAACTCTTTAGGATCAGCAATCACTATCTTTTCTGATCCCTCTGCAGAGTATGTTTACATTTCTCTAGCCTGGATAAGGTAAGCTTTGATGTATCATGTTTTAAAGTTCTTTTAAAACTGAGTGAAATTGCTAACTTTGTGGCTACACCAGCTCTGTCATGATATCACCCTCAATTGTGCGTCCAGAAACAGAACCCCAACATAAGGCAAGACCCACCTGCAAAACGTATCATGACAGAACATACAGCTGAAATGCCCTGTAGGGGCAGGCAGAACTTTTGTTGTTGTCTTGTGCCTTCAAGTTGTTTCTGACTTATGGAGAGCTAAGGCAACCTTATCACAGGGTTTTCTGAGCAAGTTTCTTCAGAAGTGGTTTGCCACTGCCATCCTCTGAGGCTGAGAGAGT